CAAGAGAAACATAAAATAAATTTAAACTTTTATAAAGTAATTTGAGGAAAAAAATATTTTAATATTATAATAATATGTTAACAGTCTTGTTAAAAATACTTTTTAAATGTGGATTATTTGTGGGGGGGCAAAATGATACTTTTGCCCACCCACAAACATTTCTGGGGGGGCAATTGCCCCCCCTTGCCCCCCCGCAATTACTCCACTGACTATTAGTAATATTCATATTAAAATTAAGATCTATTCGTATCTCGAAATTGTTATTTATCTTAATCATGAAAACATAATCATAGATAGGAAGTGAATAATATAACTCATTTATTAAGTATAATATTAAAAGATTTTTTTATAAGGTAAAAACAAAAAAAAAAACATACCACTTATTAATTTTATTGTAAGCTCAATGAATAAATCTAATTAAATTATCGTTGTGAACTTCTAGCATCCCTCAACTACTTTGATGATTACATAAACCCTAAAGAATTTGTCAAATTCTTAGTTTAGTTTGATGAAAATTACAATTTGGATGTCGGGATAATATTTTTAATGTTTGGATTTAATTCAGATTTCCCATTCCTACACATTATGTTAAATTGTGTTATACAATATTTATTCCTACTTAAATTCATTATTTTAATATTCAATATTATATTAAATTACTTTCTAACTCATTAAAATTTTTACTTTAATGATATTTATGTTTTATTTTTAGAGATGATATGTTAACTTATATTATATGAATTTTTTTTATTGTTTTATAGTCAAATTCATCCATCCAATTTAAAACTATTTGAAGAGTTATGTGAAGAACAAGCGTTTTTGTATATTTCCCCAGATAATGTTCAAAAGCGTAAACACCAGCGTAAAATTGATAACGAGTTGCAAGTTCTTAAAGAAAAATTGTCTTCTGATAATGGCAAAAATGTCGTTCTCAGTAATAGAGAATTAAGATTATTAAGGTATTTTACTTTATTTGAACTGCATGTATTTATTTAAATATTCTTTAAATCTAAACTATGGTTGAAGGCATTTAGAATTAACTGAAGAAGATAAAGAAAAGTTAAAAGGATCCATGAAGGTCGCAAAAAAGTTAGAAAAGATGGAAGGAAAAAATATGTAAGAAATGAAAATAATTTAATTAATCAAAAATCAATATTAATATATTAAATAATGTTTTATAGGAAATATAATGGAGAGGAGTGTGATTCCAATGAGTTCCTCAGTTTAGACAGCAATATCAGTGGAAAATCAACATCATCAGATAATTCTGCATCTGGTAAATATTTATAATATATATAATTTATTACTTATTGATACCTTTCAATATTTTAAAAAGGAGAATTTCAATCCATTGTTTCTGATCAACCGCTAAGCCTCACTGAATCTATGCAAAGGATGGATGATGTATTATCTGATAAGCTTATGGATCGTTTGGAAAAAATTGAGCGTCTAGAATCATTGTTAACAATGGCTATGGATGCAGAACCAGACCAAACAAATAGTTTAGATACTTCACCTTTGAGTTACAAGTGCACKTGTCGTTTATTTGCTACAGACACTGTTGACATGGCCACTCAAACTGAACCACTATAATYCATTATTATTGGAAACAAATGAGAAACGCTTTAGGTTTATTATTTAATTTTTTTAAATGTTATTCCTTGCCATGGCCTCTGAGCATATTTGTTTAGTTTACGACCAGGTTTCATATTGCTTTTGATTAATATAAAAAGCGGTATTGAAAAATTTGGGTSGTGTATACATATAATACTTATAGAGAAACTAATTAACAGGGTTGAGTCTGTACAATATCCGTCCATAATATTATGATACCTGTTATATTTTGTGTTACAATATAGCAAAGGTCATAAATAATATTCAAAATTTGACAGCAATAAAAAGAAAAAACCGCAAAGCGGTTAGACAAATTAGACTGAAAAATATTATATTYTTATTAAATKTGCGCTAGTATCACRACGTGCYTATTTAGATTTTAGATAAATTAATTATAGTTGACTTTGTTTGCTCAAACAGTATTAACCTAAATTATAGTATTGCATTGTGAAATCCATGTATTAAAATAAATAACATGAACGTCTATGTCATGAACTATTATGAAGTGGAAGGTGCATACCTGTTAGGGAAAGGCGCGAATCCAGGGGGGCAAGGAGCCAGCCCCCCCGTAGACTGGTGGATTTTCTATTATATCTATTGTCGTCTATTATATAAGTGAAAATGATTTTGAGCTCGCGGGGGTAGGAGAGTTTGAAATTTTTCAATCCCCTTATATTGTGCCTCTCTTTAAGTGCCTGATGTGGGAGATGGACATTTTCTCCTCGTGTATATTATGCATATATATCTTATCCACAGATATATGTATATTGTATATATGTGAACTGTATCATACTATTGTCTGTATTATAAATCATTAAAATAACATGGTATGATGGTTATAAACTATAATATGGCCAAGTCTTGCACACTTCATTGTATTTAGTTTGCCTCATTATACATTATAAATATATATTAGTTGTAACAGAATCAATAAAAAAAAACAGCAATCTCTATACTGATGGTCGTCGGGGTGATGAGTATGTGTATCATTAAATTCCGATCATATGTTATTTTATAATGAAAATAACCACCAATTATACAACTTGAGTTTACAGTTAAGATATATAATATTTATTATACATAAGCGTGTACAGATATTACTGTCAGGGTAGTCAATCCTTTATAACATATAAACAGACATACACACACTTTAACCTATAATATATTATTTTCTCATTCACTCCTAAAGTTATAATAACTGATTTGGGTTAGATAATTTTTTTTCCCATATTCTTATATATTACAGTAAATACCATCCAACATTAATATACTCGTGGAAATAAAATATGAGATTAGACAATGATTAAAAATAATATCTCAATAACAATATGTATTTCTTTCATCTTTATAATGATTAATGACCTAAATTAAATGCTGTTGAAGCATGACTATACATTTCTGAATGCTGGTTGGTTGGATTTTTGTCTTATCGGGGTTCTAGTTTTAGTCTTAGTTTTTTTGATAATATTAAATATTGAGTTGGTAAGTTTAAAGTAGTCAAGTGCTGAAAATACTGCGTGCACGCTTATTATCATGTATGTTATGTATAATAAATGCTTGCTATGATACGAAAAAAATAAATACAGTTTTATTCTTTGACCAGATTAGTTATTGTTGAGTACTTACTAATGATTGAGTGACTATATAGTTACTTGAAATATAATGCATAATATTATTTATGTATTATGGATGAAATGGAAATTGTTGAAAAATTGCATATCGGTGGAATTTATAAAAAGTCATAGGTACACACTTATAAAAATATTAAAATAGATGGTAAAAATGAAGAAATTTAAAAATTGTGTAAAAAAAAATATCTTTTTTTAATATTAGTATGGAACTACGTTTATGATGGCTAAATTATTAAATAATAATTATACCATTGATTATACATACCTACTTATTATTAACTATAGATTTATTTATATATTATATATGATACATATATATTTTTTTTCTTAAATTAATAGCTGTGTATTTTTTTACTTTGACAGTTAAATATTCTATCATTACCTAATAATTATAATGTATGTAAAAACATTAAAAGTTAAGGGAGAAAATGTCCTATATTCCCGTGGTATAACCATATTTGTCTTCCTTGAGTGGTGTTATTGTTCATTGTTAACAATATTCTTAATATCATAATATTTATGTATTGGCGTTAATAAAGTTATTAAATATTATTATTTTATTATTGTTAGAAAAATATTGAAATGTAATAAAAAAAATTGGTTATATTTGTAATTTACACTCTTAAAAGTTGTATTTAAAAAAATAATTGTGTTATTTATTTACTAACCAAAGTTATAAAAATAAAATGTACATTTGACATAACAAGATAAACTGAGTGTTTTATCATTTAAAAATGATCCAATTATATTACCCATCTATATTATTATACCAACGAATAATATTTTTGAACTAGGACTAAATACCAAACTAAAATCGTTATTCTCCGTTCAAATATGTAATTTCTTCCAAATTTAAACTTAGAATATTCATAGAGAAACTGTGTTTATATGTTTTTAGATTTTTAGATTTTACAGTTAAATATGAACTGCTTATGGGGAACCTTAATTTAAATTTTTAATAATTATCTATAAAAATTGAACGATAACCTAATTGTTTCAGAGTATAATTTCCAGGTCTCAATTTCATGGATAATTTATTTTTCAAATCTTTAGTACCTACCATTAATATTGTAGGTAATTTTGATTTAAAATAAACATAACCACCGTCTTTAATGCGTTTTCACTCTGTATACATTTTCTGTCTATAAAATTTCATTGATTTAAAAAAATATTTGCTAGATATTAAGGTAATAAATTACGTAAATTGTATTATTACCTAGGTATAGCTAAATAAAAAATATTAAATACAGCATAAACAACAATGTAAAACCATATCATATGTATTATATTACCTCAAGCTGTCGTCCACTCATATAACAATAGWAAATATCATAAAATCTATCATAGAATGAGGGTTATTCGGCACATTAAACAAGATATTATCAAATATTTCAGATACGTTCTATAACACGTTCAAGCAATAAAAATATATTGATTTTTCGAATACGAACTCAAGTAAGGTAGAACACGACTATAATATATTACCTATTTCTAATGATAATACAAGGACATAATAAAGAACTCGTTCGATGTATTAAARCAGTAAACATTAGTTATTAAACATCAACACTATAGGTACCTTAAACATAAATGGAAATAAGTAGGTAAAAATATATTATAGTATATGATATATTTTTACAGAGCATTTTACTCTGGATCCTATCCACAGCCAAGGCATACGCTTGGCTATTGGAGCCTTCAGGACGAGTCCTGTAGACACTACACCCTTTTACGCAGGAGAACCTCCCCTACACTATTGACGCCATAGTCACACTCTAAAATATGTGACAAAAATTAAATATCTGAATGACCGCATTACCAAAAATATCATCCACAGCCCTCTACCAATCAATATACTTTATATACTGCCCTCCCGAAGCACTGCAATACTCGAAAACTTCAAAATAATCAGTGATGACTTAGATATTTCTAAATTAGAAATTCTAATCACAATCTCTAAACTAAATTCGACCGCCTTTCCTCCGTGACTATGGTCAGTGGTCACCAAAAATCAACACCCAATTGACCGAATACTGTAAACATAATACAGATAATCGAATCATATTCAACCATTTTGCAGAAATAATGTCGCAGCAATTCCCGGATTATACACAAATATACACAGATGCTTCCAAAAGTAAAAACGAAATGGACTTTTCTGTAATCACGGATTGAGAGAACTTTCTTTTAAACTACCGACGTCCTCTAGTGCATACACAGCTGAAACTAATGCTATTTGCCAAGCACTATTAATCATCTCATCTTCAAACACAACAAACTGCTACATCATTATCAGAGACTCTTTGAGTGCCTTCACTGCAGTCTCTAACCCCTACCCAAAAAACGAACTTATCCAACTCGTTCAGAAATTAATATCTGAAATAAACAACCTCACATGTTTCATTCGAGTCCCCTCACACATTGGGATATCCGGAAACGAGAAAGTAGACACATCAGCTTATGAAGACATTAAATCTCCACAATCCATTTAAATCGACTCTTCTTTCTTTTGAAACTTTCGGCATAATCCATCGGAAAATAATGGAAGAATGGCAACTCTTTTGGGAAAATCTTCTCCTCACCAATAAACTGAAAATACAAAATTATTTGTTAAGAAATTAAACTACCCTTCCGGTACAAAAAGAAGAGAGAAGGTAACCGTCACTCGAGCCAAAATAGGCCATTCTCGTTTAACTCATGTCCATCTCATAAAAAAAAAMCAACATCGATGGATGTGGATGCTTGCAACGAAACATCAGCAATTGAACACATTTTCATCACCTTTCCCAAATACATCGGAGCACGCAAGACACTTAAAAATCCTGTTTCACTTCACCGAGCCTTCAAAGAAAAGAACATAGCTGCAATCAGTAAATTCTTCCTCAATATAAACTCATACTATCCATTGTAAATAGTAACAATAATAGTTTTATAAAATTCATACCAAAATTTAATGTATATAATATACTCTTTTTCTTGTTTAACTTTTGATAAAATGTAAACTAAAACCCTGTGTTGTTGAAGCCTTCATAAACTTTAAAAAATAAAAATAAAACATATATTTTATTTCAAGAAAATGTTTCGGTATATAAATTATATAAATTGTATAAAGAATACAAATAACAAATGATATAATATATTTTAAATRATATAATAATACAAATTTCACTCGTAATAAAATAATTGTATAATGCTTTTAAATTAAAAAAAAAAAAACTACTACATTTGTATGGGTTTATTGTTTATCTATAATAAGGAATTTAAAAATAAAAATAATAATAACAGTTTAATTAATATTATTATACGATAATAAATTATAACAATACAACAACTGCAGGTCATCTATTTGTACCCCTGTACTACTATATACTGTAGGTAAGAGGTACCTATATAGTTGATTTTATGATATTATTTTAGTTTTAATAAAATTAATGATATATATCACAAAACCGTAATGTATTAAAAATATTCTTTATACGCTGGGTGTAATGTGATATATTCAGTAATATAATATTAAAATAATAACAATTTTGTAAAGACTAGGTATATATGATTTCCAGATTTCATATTATAGAAATTATAGAAATCTCTATACATTACTAATTAGTGATTACTATACAGTATACAGCCATCGCAACGATAATAATAATAATGATATGATAATTTGTTGACCAGCCGTATAAAAAACGATTTCACTTAGACAGCTGCAGGTGCCTTTGGCTGACCGTGTTAGCGTCCTCAGACTTAGCAGATCCGTTGCCACTGTCGTCCGAGTCCTGCACAGCGTGTACGCTTTTATCGCGCACTTTCAATCCCAAACCTTCGCGGTACTCTCGGCTTAGGCTTCTGGCCGTCAGACTGTGAACCTGTAAAAATTACACAATTATGCTGATATGCCTGCGTGATGGAGTTCATTGCCCACGCCCGACTTTATCCGGCGACCAATTCGAAAAAAATGCAGACATTTTGAAAACAATTGCATAGGTATTGAATTTTAGAATTCGCAAAATATACATAGACATATTTTTCGAATCGACCAGACGAGAGTCGGATGTTATTGTGGTAGAATTTATGCCATCCCTGACTAGCTGTAAATAATATATTCGTTATAAAAATATAAACAGTGTCATATAAATTTTAGAATAAAGAGGACCACTGTGTGTTGTCTCCGTCTGATAAACGTAGCAAATTCTACGTTAAAAATAATTTCATTTTGCATAGTCAATTTAAAAAAAATTGGAATGAATTGACCCTCGATAAATTTTAAATATAAAATTATCATATAAGACATCCCAAAGAATTGTATTCATATTATTATTTTTTAAGTAAGTTACGATCATATATATAATTCATATAACTCGCTTCTCAAAAAAAATATAAAAATATCGATAAAAGCCTCCGGATGCCCTAATTAATAATCTTGGCTTTACATTTTGTGGTAGGTAATGAATTCACAGAGTAAAATGTATTATTTATAGTGAACGTAGAATTTGCCTGCATTTTGTACGTTTGCCGATGTAGAGGATATGTAGTGCTGTTGTTACCCGCAAATCCCTTATTATAATATATTGCTACCAGCTCACTGCTGTCGACATGAACCTAACAATGCGCATTCATAAGTGTATAGTATTATAATAAATATATAACGTATATAAATATAATATGTATATGACTATGAAGTGTAATGGGTGAATTCCGGAGTCGGCCATAGGCCTTGAACGACGTATCACTGCGTATCCATCGATACAATATTAGAATATATACCTCCTAATATCATTATCGTACTCGTATGTTAATGCCCATGGGCCGCACCCAGTGTCGAATTGCATGTTATTATACCTATCTCCACACACAGGACATAACGCGCAGTGTATTATATTTACATAATAATCAGTTGTCTATCCGTCTAATATCACTAATAGTGTAGTGGATGATAGTGTCATGCTGAATTATGCACAATGCGTAATAACTGTATTACACCTTAATGTACCTATGACTATATGCCTACATCATTAAACTATTTATAATACTTATTGAAGGCAGTTATTATTAAAATAAAGGTAAGCTACGCTTTAGCGTGTATAGGTATATGTATAATGATGATTTATTAAAAAATATGACAACTACCGTTGTCCGCGTTCTGATGGATGTTTTTTTTTTTATATGTTCTGATTTTATAGACAGAAATAACAATAATAACTAATAAGTAATAAGTATATTTCCTATATTACTGTAATTAGTTTTTAAAAAAACATCACTTAATTAAAATGTTTAAATCAAAAATCAACATTTTAAGATAAAACTTTTGATAAGACTACACTGCGCATGCCCAGGATTTTGTTTTATGGATGATTTTATTTTATAAAAAATAAGTTATAAAATTAAGAAAGCCAAGTTGGGTGTGATTAGAACTCTAAAACCACCACCTGGGTCCTGGGCTCATCCCTGACACTGTGAATAAAATCATTTCCGATTGTTTTTATCATCGAATATTTTTTACCGATATCTATTATTATGATTACCATCGATATATTTTTAAAAACGTACCTTAGAAGAACGATTTTAACCGTTAAGCCACTAAGACGAATTGTTTTCTATTAACAGTTTGGTCAAGTGAGGGCTTACGAAAACTGGAATATGGTAAGCATTTAATAAAGGTAAGTTTTTCTTTTAGTACGCTGACTTATTATTGGARCGGGCCAATAGTTATATTGCCGAGACGACGATCAACAATTTTTCTTTGTTTTATTATATTAATCTAGAGCCCTGATTCAAATGAATTAAAAACTTTCAAAAAACGGACGAATAATACTAAAAATTATCAAAACAAATATTATGAAAACAATATTTCTTCGCATTTTAACTTACACTATAAGATTAAATTATGCAATTATTATACCCTTAAAATTAATACAATTATCTAAGAATACTAAGAAAAAAATCGAAAAATTCAAAATAAAAGTTTCACTTTTGGAATATATATTTTGTTAGATACTTGAAACGATTTCACTTGGAACGCATTGGTCCCGTATAAAGTTTCACGAAAAAAAGCTATGATTTAGTGCCACAGGGATAAAATCGTAAAACTAACGTCCTAGACTACTAATGGTACCCACCCACATAATCATGGATACAGTTGAGATTTTTAAGTTAATTTTGCGTGTGGCGTTGGCACTGTACAATATATATAAATACCTATCTATAAAGAGTACAGATTAAAAGTATTCATACATGAATATTAGTAACTGTCGTTTATTACACTTAAGGACACGCTCACTGAGTCGTGCAGTGAAAAAAAAAATATATATTTATTGTTATTACAACACATGTCACATACCTATTATATATATACCTACATAACAATATATAACAATAATGCATATTATTCAACTATAAATATATAATTGATTTTTAACTAATCTAAATCAGAATTTATAATACAAATATAACATAGTCAAGTAACACTGAAAGCCGAATCTTCTTATAAGCGTTATTATTATATAGTAGGTACCTATACTTATAAAGTTATAAAGTAGATATTCTAATTTATAGCAGAAGTAGATTGTAGATATAAATATATAATATGTATATTTTATACCATATAAATTATACATTTTAAACATTTAAACTAAAAATTAATGTTAAATGCCATTGCCATTAGAAAACTCAAAGTAATATTGTCACAGTATACGAGTATAGCACTATAATATTATCAATAACAAGAGTCAATGGCAATAATTAGCATTTTTTTGACTGCACAATATGTTAATAATATATTATCCATTATTAGGTAACTTTATTGTTGTACATAGAATTTATACAAATACATGACATATTTTTATACTTCTGTAACGATATGTTGTTAATAGATAATAAAAATAAAAAGTACAAATTTACGCAAATAACAATATAACAATTAACAGATAATAACAAATCAGCAACACATCGATAATGACACATTATTACAGTACCTTGTAAGGGACTTAGCCACTTAGGAGAACGTATTTTTACATACCTAGCTACGTCGAGTCAGTCACCGTGGACCCACCTATATTTATATTCGTTACACATAAATTATATACATACATTATACACACATTATAAATACATTTTATATACATGTATATCCACGCACACTAAACATTTAATACTGTCTAGTCGAACCTCCTTTGGAGGCGGTAAACCTTTGCAGCGTAACACTCAGGTAGTTTACTTACTTGTCTGCTCGGGTTCTTGTGTGTGTTTTCAGCGCTCTAAAAGTGTGAAAAAAACCCAAATTAAAATTTGTTAAAGTTGTATTATAATTTATAATAAAATAGTTTAACCACATATTATTATAGAATATTTAAGTACAATATAATGAAATCAGAGAGCCAACACTCACTACACCCCACTTCATCACCAGCCGAACCATTGACAAAGGAAAACAATGTTGTAAGATCAACCAGAAGATATACATTTATCAATTACCTAATCGTATTTTTTTTAACTATTCGCACGGAGTCAAAAACGCTTATTAATTCAATTTTCAAAAAATATATTTAATGAAAACGAAGAAAAGTTTGACTCTGGGAGTTTCAGATTTGAATTAACCACTAACAAATGAGTATTAGAAAATTGAAATAATTTTTTTTATATTGTCGTGCACTTTTACATCATTGCAATTCTTTCTGTAAAAACTGTAATAACCGTGTTGCATATGAATACTTCTAATACAATATCAGATATCAAATATAATATCATTATCCATTGAATATTGAATACTGTGTATTATATTAAACGCACTACAAATTTGATTTGCTATATGAGCTGTTTAACCCTWTTATAGTTATGCTAACGGTAATGATAAGGTATTTAGCGTGAAAAATATCAAGACAAATAATAAATTAAATCATTAGGTATATAGTATATAATATTTTTAGTTTTTAAATGGTTATTATTTATTTAATATAATACAATAAAAAGTGTAAGTCCTGCTTCAGTAAATTGATATTCAATCGATTATGTCAGATTTTCTATTGAAACGCCACCACCGATTACCGAGCTTAATATCATATATTTATATGACGATATAAGATTAAATTGGTCACACTCACGTTGGWCGAAAACTGTTTGGCTAGTTCTCTGACCGAAGGCATATAGTGGTGCACATCGTCCGTCATCGATTCTGCGATGGAACTCTTAGGGACGCCGCTGCTGCTCTCCCGTCGGTCCGWCCACGAGCACACCCGAACCAGTTTGTCTTGACCACCGCAACTGCCAAAGGGCACTTCACCACTGGATGGYGATTGCGGATGAGGCTCCGGCTCGGAGTCCTGAACTGCACGGCCAGTTCGCCGTGCGTCACCTTCGAATTTGTCTTCGCCGATCTGTACTACCAGTTTGGATACCTTGGTCTGACACACAACACACATCGCGGGTACGTATTTACGCATAATTACAACATAATAAATTCAATAATCGTGGAATTGGAATTGTTTCGATGTTAAAGCCGAGAAGTTTGTATATTATTATGTAAAATGTGACTAGACACTAGAGACTAAAGATTAAGTTCACCAAAGAGTAGAGAGCCCAAGGGGTCGTAGGGCGTAAGTGGTTTTTGACAGAAATGTGCCTATAGAGGGGGAGAGGGTTCAATCCCCTTCAAATTTTAAATTATGATCTATAGAAATAAATAAATTTGAAATACGTGTTAATAAAAATATCCCCTCCACAACCCCCAAAAAAATTTCTAGGCACGCCAATTGTTGCCATTGGTCYCCTCGATGATAAAAATACTGTCCTATTCGTACCAAAGTTTTGACCATTGCTCAACATTACCCATACAAGCACACTACCTACTTCTAATATGAGCATTGAATTCAAACTAAAATATAGGTACTTTACAATAAGACACGATATTAATGATATTATATAATTATGCACTTTTGTTTCATATAGGAGCCTTCACAATATTATTTGTAAATAAAATTATAAAAACCATTGATTTTTATTCTAAAAAATTACCATTAATTGTATGCTGTTGAGTAATGATGAAATGGGACACGAAAGTGGCCCCAACCTAAGCTCCCATCCCCTTAATTCTAGCTTGTAGAGACGAAATCTTTAGGATGCAGAATTGACAGAACATTCATTTAGGTAAAGTTCCACTCAGTATTCCAAAATTCCAAAATATTATTAAACCATTAAAACCACCTGCGCCTTACTTCCGCTTCTACCGGAAACCTCAAAAATGTTTCATGTGGGTGGGCGACGGGCGTGTCTCTTAATGTGTGGTTTTAATTTTGAAATAGATATGCATATTATCGAACGACGGCATAAAGGAAAACGATTACGCGGAATTATGGGTGACAAAATTCAAAGAGTCAAATACGCTTCGTCACCTACGCACAATAATAATTGCTACAATATAAAATTTATTTTAAATTATGAATAATTTCAGCGAATAAATGTTTAGAAACTAACGTTTAGGATCTTTGCGACGGTTCACCGAGTACCCCAACGAAATAAAAACTGCAGCAAATCGTTATTAATGATACATTTTATTTGAAATAGTAACAAAACAATAGGTATTATATTTTATGGTAACGCGTATTTCGATTTTGTGTCTATGAAAAATATCACATAAAGCCAAATTTCCAATTTTGGTTCACAACCAGGTYATCATAAATAATAAATATATGAATAATAACACACAAATCATCGATCAGAATATTTTATATGGCTCGTTCAGCTATTATACGAGTAGGTATGGCTCAAAATATCCTCGCGGTAAATAGGATTTTTAACAAAGTTGTCTGTGCCTGTTTGATTCCTAATCACAGTTCTGCGCAAAGTTCCGTACACTATTGATTTTTCCAAAGTACTGACATCGTCAACACTAACCTGTTTTTTTCTGGCTTTCATTTCCTCGGACTGATTGATGTAGTAATCTCGACCGTACCTGAATGAAACCATTTTGAGATGATTGAATATAATAATTTTTTAAACAAGGTACAAGATAATATATAGATACCCATATACAATAACATGAATTCAACCAAGTAAAATTTTAATGTCTAGGTTAATATTAGAGTTTAACTTCAAATTTAGTAACTTATTACTAAATCTGAAATTGATTTAATATGTATACATATTATATATAAATATTAGAGTATTATATTTTATATTATTAAATGTAAATCGCAGTGGCTTTTACGTTAAGGAGTATTTAATATAATAATAAATAAAAAAAACGCTTTAAATTATATAAAAAATACTTCTCCTCTCTGAATTTGGTATAAACCTACATTACTACATTTGATTATTAGACTATTAGAGTAGGATTATTATAGATATCATATTTTCGATTTTATTTAGCACAAGTTTACTACATAAAATGCCCGTTAGTTAAACGGAAACAGTATAAAAATATGCGGGACGTGGGTATTACGTGTTCTAAATTATTATTTATTTTATTTTAGGAAYTTGTGAACAATAATTACCGCTGAGTGTCCGGTAACAAGGGGCTGCAGACTATTTTCAACGAGCTGGACGTGTCGTTTCCATTGATTAAATTCCTGCAGGAAAAATGTGTAGATATATAATAATATTATAAAACCTACTGTCGATGGAAAATGAAACATTTCTACTATAACTAAAACCGTTGGTGAAATAAAATTTTAAGAAACTCACAGTGATGCCTCACTACTGCTCCTGCTGCCGAAGAACGACTTATACTTGCGCTTTTCGATGTTCTCGGCGGAGTACGGGTTGTTCCTTAGTGGCGTCGCCTTTTCCCACTTGGAATGTTCTCGTTCTGCTATCGTACCTACCAATTAAAATTAGAGTAACTTTACTCGTTCTGCTTAACAATTACCTGAATACTTCATACGATGAGCTCCTGCAAGACGTTTTATTATAAAATATAGGACAAGGCCGCCTCGAGCCAAGAACTAGGGGTCTTAAAATAGACCTGATCTTTAAAATATATTATTTAAACGATTATGCAGTCATAAAAATATACCATCAATAATATAAAAATGTAAGTATGATTATAAAAGTTTTCTGATGTTAGATTTTTTTTAAATGTATTATATTTTTATACTGTTTTTAAAAATAGTTTAATTTGATTTTTTTTTTTGACATACGTATAATACTTTAAAATATATAAAAAAAACTATGTTATATCTTTAAAATGCACATTTATGAAAAAAAACTTTAAGTCTGAAAACTCTTGTATTCAATATTTTGAAATTTGAAATCCAGATATTACAAAACACAATACTTGCACCGAACCAGATATTTCTTCTATTTACTTACTTTCCGTAAAAATATACAAATACATAAAATCTTGCCCCAAAAATTAATATGTATATTTAAATACTGATACCTGGCCTGGGAGGTAACGCCTCGTCTTCTTGTGCGACATTAACTTCATCGGATGACACTGAATTGACTTCGCTATCTGTAGCGCTTGACATTAAACTAGACCTATAAATAACGATACATAAATATGATTGCTATAATAATTAAAATATTTATAAGTTATAAAACATATATTGTACAACTAACGGCATAAAATTGAATAATATATATATAATGTATATATATATATATAACATTATGGTGTGTTCAAAAATTATATTATAATATATCAATATATATGTAAATAAGAGTAAAGGGATTCTACATTACCTTGGCCTTGGCACAGGTTTTTCGTTGACTTCTATAGATTGATCAAAATCCCTCTGATGATCCATTGAACCTTGGCCTAGAAACGCGTAAACAATTACAACAAATTAATGTCTGTATATTATAATTTTTATATATTATAAAACGGACTTTGTGACAGTGGAATGCGATGACAATATTATAGTATATTCCAAAATGTAAAACGGCCTACCAGAATCTACTTGGGAAAGTGCGACGTGCTTGTTGCAAGCTTCCACTACGGGATCCCAAACAAGCGGATTGTCCTCCTCGCTGCTAGGACCATCGAACAGTAAAATTCCACCATCAATGGAGTTTGTGTCGACGTCTGAATGTTTCGTCTGCAGCGGTTCTGATTCAAAATCAGCTATATAGGCATAACAGAAACACAAAAGATACACTTGTCACTTATAAAGTTAACAGCCTTGGCGGGAAATTAAATAAATAGTGATAAAAATAAGTTTATAAATGTTGTATATCAGACATTAAAAAATCATAATTAAATTACAAAGTTCGAGCAGCTCGTCCAATGCCGAATTTGAGTAGTCAGACAGTTCGGACGTTTCGTCAGCATCGCGATCGCCTATTAGTGGCCTGGTGACTTCGGATGGGTTCGGCACTAACATAGGAACGGGTACGGGATGATGGTGATAATTATTGGATCCGGACATCTGGTTTATTCTTTTCTTTTGGAACAGCCAATTGTCTTCCCACGAGTCCACTGTAGCACTTATTCCTTGGTCGTCGGGGTCGATAGTACTGTTGYCATCTGAAAAAAATTGATARGTATTTGTGCATAGAGGTTAGAATACATTCGACAAGAATATCATAATAAGTCTATACCACAACAGTACTTAGCAAAAATCTAGAGTACAAATTAAATAGAGAGTTAATAATTTAATATACTATGTAAATTATAATATAAAGTGTCGCTAAACAATCGATTCTTAAAATGTATGGGTTCGACTGTTCGAGCAATATACATAATATGATTTAAAGTTAGGTAATATAGATATAAAATAACTAGTAAACGAGATTTGGGTGATAAAATAAGTAAATAGAATAAATAAAATCATATTAGTACTCTAATATTATAAATTATAATATATATTATAGTTTAATAAACGCACTATATGATGTGGAGTAGAATCCTGACTGCAACGTTATTGAATCGTTGGCAGAAGTGAAAGCTACGTAAAAATTATAGTATATAAATAAGCACTACGGCACACAAAAACATAATATTAATACGTAGTAGTGGAAAATTCGAACTTATCGATATAGGTAGGTACGTTATATAAAAATTATTATATTTTACAAATAATTTCCTAACAGTTCCATTCGGGTAATCTAAAACGCATTCCTGCAATACATCAACGTCCATATATTAAACTACCTATCTAATATATATATAAACTTTGAATTGTAAAATATATTATTATTTTCAATTTATCATAAACGCGTTCGCATACGAACGTGTCGTTTAGTTGCAAGCACATATTTTATCAACAGACATTCAAAATAACAAATATTCGCGATAAGAAAGACGAGAATATTTTAATTTTGAGGCCTTATAAAATAATATATTATGATTATTACTTAATTAGGTATATATGAAAGGTACATAAACAGGTTGAAAAAGCTCGTGKTTTTTTTTATATCCATAGGTATCATACACATACCCTCAAYTGTATCAGACCCGAATTCAGGCAAAGGCGCCGTGTGCCCACGAAGCAATTTAGCGTTCGACATGAACATTCCAATGGTCGATTGCGATCTTTCATCGTCATCTTCATCACCTTCGTTGTAACCATCGTCATAATCACCTTCAATATCGGAGTATGTATTATAACTGGTTGTCGTTACTTCTTCCGTGAATTCTTCCACCTGAACACCAATAATACAATATAGGTACAAACTAACATTATACGAATATTAATACATATTTGTATCTCTTTTATCTCTGTAGATTTTTATGATTTTATGTAACATATTTAGTCAGACACAACATTTTCGAAACTACTTGCTTTAATAAATGGTTAATAATAAGTATAAATACATAATACATTTATATTTTATATATTTTACATGTATAATTATTAATTATATAAAACTTACTGTTAAAGACACTCTTGGAGTTCTCCGCCGCTCTTCTGTATTTTTCGAATCGGAATAATTCTGATCTTTTAAATCTACATACATAACATTAGTTTCGTATCGATATAATAATACAATATTGGAAAAAATTATACATACCCGTTTGTTTTGGAGAACATTTAGAAATTCTAGTCCTCCTAACTGGGACTTTTTTCTTTGTCTGACTGTTGGCGACAATCTGTAATTTAAAAAAAATTATTCAAATATAATATGATACAAAACAACCTTTATAACTTACAAACATATTTATTATTAGTGCAGGGTGAAAGTTGAACAAGCAACTGCACTATAAACTACATAAGRATGGCAGGAAGCCATATCCAAGCTTATTATGAACGAAAAAGGGTTTCCACATAACATCATGTAATGTATTTAATACAAATACCTATGGAAGTAAATACTACGCGAACGGAAATATATATCATACCTTATTTAATATAGCAGTGGCCAAGAGATCTTCATAATTTTTTTCGTTTAAATCTTCCGCCAATGGAACAGCGCACTTTTTCTGAGCAGCCTTAAAATATTTATTTAATAATTGATTATACGTATAAAATTTCATTTTTACGAATTAATAATATTTTAGATTTTGAACGGAGTGATGAATGTATT